GGAGGGGCTGGACCTTTATAACATGGAATGTGGCAAAAGAAACATATTTAATTTTAAAACAGAAGAACATAGGTTAACTGTAGGGCCCAGAAATATGATATCCCTGTCATCTTATGTTAGAAGTATGTCAGTTAATGTATGTCAGCTAATAATGTTAGCATCTTCTCCCGTGTTATTAATGAAATATCCAAGCATTGCAAACTGAATATATTAATTTTGCAAGTATTGATTACGGGATTCTGAAAAGGCCATAATTGGCAGAGTTGAATTGGGAAATGTTTGTTATGTCACCAAGGGGATGAATGTGTGAAACACAGGATCTTGTACAATCTGTAGAAAATGAGAAGACTGCATAGCACTAACATCCTGTTCCTGTGGGTTAGGTTGAATCAAGTAGGGAATACAGCTGCTTAGAAATAGCTTAAAATAAACATTGAAGGCTTATTCTGTTCTAGGTTCTGGGCTAGTTGGTGAAGATACTAGAAATATAGAAATAATAATAGCAATAGTGGTAACTACCAACTCTCATTGAGCACTAAACATGTACCAGACATTATACTGCTTTTACAAGTATTTTACAAGAGTTTTATAAATAATTTCTCATTGATTTCAAACCCTAACAACTGTGGGGACTTTACTGCATTCCCATTTTAAATTCCCACTTTAAACTCATTTTCCTTAAAATGAGTTTCAGATATGTTAAGCAAATAACTTGTCAGAGATCTTAAACATTCTTCATAGGATTGCTTGGAAGTTAGCAAATGCAGCACCTAGGGACACTGCCTGGTATATAGTAAATGCTCATTACATACTAGTTGCTATTAGTACTACTGAAGCACAGAGAAAAATACCACTTTTTCCCTGCTAAGACCAACTACTATGGTTTGTGCCTTGATGTCCCCACCAAAGCCTTTTATGGTCATAGGTGAGTGTGTGATTGATTCCTGGTGTGGCTAAGCCGAGGGCAATAGGGTTAAGGGCATCAGTGCTACCCACCCACCCTAAGTAGTCTGAATAAGATAAATGGAACAAAAAAACTCGTTAAAGTCCCTTGTAGCCTTTGCTACCTTATGTGTGCACCATGTTGTTTCTCTTCTGCGATGCCTGTTTGCCATCCCTGCCTTGGAGGTAGCTGATTGTGGACTGAAACTTGTATGAACTGTAAGCCAAGTAAACCTTCCCCCTTTAACTTTGCATGTTGAGTATTTTGTCTCAGCAATGAGAGAAAAGCACTAACACACCCACCTCTCTCAGAGAAGAAAAATACAGTGCTTTTCCTGGGAAAGATTGTTATTCCAGGTAGAAGAGACAGTAGTAAAGGGATTGGTGGTCTGTTTTAGCTACTCATGGAGTACTTGGGGTGAAATAATAGAAAACGATGAGAGATGAAAGAAAGTTTCATGTTGGAGGAAAAACTCTTGAGCTGTCTTACTTTGTTTTTTGTGACAGGGTCTTGCTATGTAGTTCAAGCTAGCCTTGAAGTGATAGTCCTCTAACACATAGGCAGTCCTGTTTCAGCCTCCTGCTGGGGATTACAGGCATGTGCCACCACACTTGGCTTCATTCTTGAGCTATCTTCATATAATGGACCTAACTTATTTTAGTAGGCAGAAGGAGTTAGACATTTCAAGCAAATGTACCAGCATTTTTTTATAATCAGCATTTTTAAAAGGCACTGGAGATGAGATACCGCTACATGTGACTTTTCAGAATGACCAAAATTCAGAGCACTTACCTAACCAAGTACTGGCAATGGTGCAAAGCAGTGAGAAATCTCACTCATTGCTGATGGGAATGTAAAATAATACAGCCACTGTGGAAGACAGTTTGGCATTTTCTAACAAAACTGAGCAGATTCTTAGCATATGATCCAGCAGTCATACACCTTGATATTTACCCAAAGGAGTTGAAACTCTTGTCCACACAAAAACTTGTATACAGATGTTTGTAGATGCTTTATTTATATTTGCCACAATTTGTAAGCATCAAAGATGTTTTTTATTAGGTGAATGGATAAACTGTTGTGATTTAGGCAATGGGATGTTTTTCACCAGTGAAAAGAAATGAGCCATCAAGCCATGAAAAAACTTGGAGGAAACCTAAATACATATTACAAAGTGAAAGAAGCTAATACAAAAAGCAACATATATACTGTATGATTCCCACTATGGCATTCTGGAGGCGTAAAAAGATCAGTGATTACTGGGGCATGAGAGTGTGAAAGGTGAATAAGCAGAACAGAATATTTACAGCAGTGAAAATACTCTATTTTTTTCAGATGTGAATATATATCATTATATATTTGTCTAAATCCATAGACTGTAACACTAAAGTGAATCCTAATGAACACTATGATGATTGTTGTTAGGTTCATTAATGTGAGAGATTATACATTTATAGGCCAAGGGATATTTGGGGAATATCTGCCTTCTCAAATTTTATTATGAATCTAAAACTGCTCTATAAAAATAAAGCTAATAATAAAATTTAAGGCACAGAAATGGTATTATAATTATCTACTGCTGTGAAACAAACTACCCCCAAAATTTTGTTACTTAAAACAATTACTATTTGCTCACAGCTCAGTGTCAGGTACTTGGGTTGGGCTTCATTAGGTAAATTTTCACCTGGTTTCATCTGGGGCCGCTCCTGTGGCTACAAGTCATCTCATGACACCACTGGGCTAGATGGTCCAAGATGACTTTTCTTGGATGTCAGGTTTAGTGAGGACTGTTGTTGACTAGGCTTCACACAGCAGCAGCAGAAACTGCAAGGACTCTGGAGACCTAAGCATGGAAGTCACATTGTTGCTTCCATTATGTTCTCTTAGCCAGAACAAATTATAAGGTCATCCTAGATGCACTGGGAAGAGGAAGAGACTCCATTTCTGGATGGAAGGACTGCAAAGAAATTGTGTGGGGTTTTTTTCTTGTTTTTTTATCCACCACAAATAGAAGACGGTTGGATAGGTTTTTGATGTATCACTCAGCCCTTTTGGCCTTTTCTGTAGCCTAAGTAGTATTTCTTTCAAAATTAACCAGTTTAGGTTCTTTGTGGTTTTTTTCCCCCCCTGGTACTGGGGATTGAACTCAGGACCTTGGCTTGCTAGACAGGCACAGTGCCACTAAGCTAAATTTCTGGCAGTTTCTTCCTCTTTATTACCATGCCTTCAACTTTCTTCTGTTTCCCTTAGGAGACAAAATATAAATTAAAATGAAAACAAAAGTTTTACCAGTAATTGAATTTTGAAAACTCTGAATTACAAATCTATGTTAAAAAGGAGACTGTAGCCAGACATGGAGGCACAGTCCTGTAATTCCAGCACTTTGGGTAGCTAAGGCAGTAGGATCCTAAATTCTAGTCCCGGCTGGGTAGCCCTATCTCAAAATAAAACAATAAAAAAGGGCTGGGGAGGTTATTAGTTTCCAGTACCAAAAGGAAAAGAGAAAAGGAAAGGAAAGGAAGCTGAGGATTTAGCTCAGTGGCACCTAGCTTGCCTTGCAAGCATAAGGTCCTGAGTTCAATCACCAATACCAGGGGGGAAAAAATTTAAAAAGAAAGGAAGAAGAAAAAGAAAATGTAATTTAATCTTACTGTTTAATATTTGCATGAACTTGAGCTTGATTAACTCCTGTGGAGAACTCAGAGTCCTGACTTTAATATTAGACCAGGAATATGTTATTACCATATCATTTGCTAGTATTTAATTAAATATCTGGTGGTTTGTTTTTTTTTTAAACCGGGGATCAAACTCGGTTCCTTGCATTTGCAAGACAGGTGTTGGAATCACTGAACTAAATCCCTGGCCCTGGGATTAAGCATGTTACTGTATAACCATTTAAAATCTTGACCAGTATGATTTCCTAGGTAAATAACCCGATTCATATTCTGTATAGGTAAATATAGATGACCACCCTTTAGAATGATCTAAAATACTGAAGTAGTTCATTCTGAGTTGATGTTTTTAGTTTTAAGTAACTTTCGCCAGTACTCAGCAAATATAACTGATTTCCTCTGAGTTGTATTACTTTATAATCCTTTGTAGTCTACTATTGAATTCCACTTTCTATTTTAAAAGAGTTCATGGCCTTTGTTCATTAATCACTGGAAACAGTTGTGCGACATGCCTTGACATTAAGTTGAACATCTATAATTAGTCCTGCTACAATCAGTGGTTGAGAACAAGATTTCAGTAGTTTGTATCGTATATTAAGTAGACATTAAGAGGTTAGAAGGAACTCTCAAGAAATAAGTAAGTGATTTGTGTGCATGTCTGTGTAACTATTTAAATATAGAGTCCACCAAAAAAATGTATACATCAGGAAAAGAAAAACTTGTATAACTATTTTACTACTAAATTTATTGAGACATCATGAGATTAATACGTTACCTTTTACCTTTGGCCTTTACAATTATAAGAGGTGCTCAAAGTGGTGGCTATTAGCTTCTAGACATTTATCATTTTGGCGAGCTGCTGAAATGTGTATACATTTTTTTTTCTTTTTTTTGTACTGGGGATTGAACCTCAGGTCTTTGTGCTTGCAAGGCAGGAAGCAGAACCACTAAGTTAAATTCCCAGCCCTTGTGTATACATTTTTTGTCAGACTTTGTCTATAGCTGAAAGTGTCTTTTTAAAGCAGATGAACAAATTATGTGTTATCATAAATTCTTAAGTTATATAAGATATATAAGTTATATATCTTTGCTTTATGCCATTGAGTTGCTTATTGAAAACTTCAGATGATAAAATATATTTCTACATGTTTTTTCATGCCTTTTTGGGGGTAGGGTTGAAACAGAGTCTTACTATGTATTCTAGGCTGGCCTTGAACTCTCTGTATAGTCAAGGTGGCCTCAAAATTCTTCTGCCTCAGCCTCTAAAGTGCTGGGATTACATGTGTGTGTCACAATGCCTGGCTCATCTCTTAATTTTTAAAGGAAGATTTCATTACATGTACTGTTATTTTAAATGAATGACTTTTTCCCCCCTCTCTTTCCAGAATTTATAAAAACCTATTCACAAAAATGGCATCCTGGTTATATGAATGTCTTTGTGAAGCTGAACTTGCACAATATTATCCTCATTTTACTGCCCTTGGCCTTCAGAAAATAGATGAACTAGCCAAGGTTACAATGAAAGACTACTCCAAATTGGGAGTCCGTGACATGAATGACCGCAAACGTCTCTTCCAACTGATCAAAATCATTAAGATTATGCAGGAAGAAGAGAAAACAGTCAGTAGTCCAGATCATCCTTTTCAGACAAGCAGCCAGTACATTAAGACTCAGGAATTGAGATCTGGTCCTCGAAGACAACTACAGTTTGACTCTCCTGTTGACAACAAAGACAGAACTGCTAGCAAAGATGGGTTTGAAATGCATAATATATCAGATTTCTCTGCAAACGAACAGAAGTCCACTTACCTAAATGTGCTGGAACACATGCTACCAGATGATTCCCAGTACCATACAAAAGTACAAACTCTGAATGTCCCTGCTGCTGATTCCTATGTGCAAACAAAAACTAATTCACTCTTTTCATCGAATCTCTTTTCTCCATTAATGGGAAATTGTGATATTCCCATTATTCAGAGAGTTTCTCATGTTTTGGGGTATAATTATGGAATCCCTCAATCTTGTATCAGGTAATAATTTTTATTTTTATCTTTTTTTTTTTTGGAGGGAAGGTTGCCTCAGACAAGGGCAGGCCTCTCCATGACTAGAGGAGAGCAACTACTACTTATAGTAAATAAATATAACAAATGAGAGTGAACAGCTTTTGTTCTCTGTAATAGAAATACTATACCTGGATGGAGAAAAATTAAGGAATAGGAACTGTCCAGATGGGAGAAAGATGATATTGTTCATAAGCATCAAACAGCTGCTACTTGCCAAGCTCTGCTGTTATTCCTATAGCAGACCTATTTCTGTTATTTACTATAGTGTAACATAATACATCTCGTGCATACATTAAAGTAAGATAATTAACTGACATTCTACAATGGAAAAAAATTGTACAATTCACAGGATTTTTAAAAGGCTATCAAATTCACTTAAACCAACCAGGAGTTTTATACTTAGTTAAAAGCAAAGAGCGTGTAGTTAAATTAAGTAGGTCATTGGAGCACATAGTTCATCTGGACACAATGAAATATGATCTTAATTCAGAGTGCTTATTATTTTACAATTCTAGTCCTGGAAAAACAGAAGAGTTTGATGTATTACAAAGAATACATCAAATAGAGCTTGAGAGTCAGAATAGTAAGTTATTTTCACCTAGTGCTTAAAGTTAGGATTTTGTTTGTTTGTTTGTTTGTTTGTTTGTTTTGAGATGGGTCTCACTATGTATTTGAGACTGACCTGGAACTCACTATGTAGCTCAGGCTGGTTTTGAACTCAAAGTGATCCTCCTGCCTGAGTCTCCCGAGTGCTGGGATTACAGGCGTGTGCCACCACACCCGGCTCTAAAGTTAGGATTTAAAATAAGTTCCTTAAGAGATGAAATATTGAACAATTCCTAATATTAACAATGATATAACAGAAAATATATTCTTTTAAAAAATTATAGGGCACTGTGTTCTCTCTCGCATGGTGGCCTGCCCTCATGCTGTAGGTTCCTTTTACTTGGCCCAAACTCATGCTATAGAGCCTGTTTCTTTTCCTACCTTGATACAGCTTTTCTACCATTAAAAACAAAACAACCCCCCCCAAATTCCTTGTTTTTTATTTTTAAAGTATGTGAGTTACTGGAAAACAAAATTCATTTTAATCTCTTTTTTTAAATGCTGTCGTACATACCTTAAGACAAAGTATTTATATCTGGTCTTATATTGGCTAAGGTTGCAGATGACCTCATAACCAGTTCTTTTACTGCAAAAAAAAGAAGACCCAGTTTTAAAGATTAAAAGATCTGTAGAAATTTGAAATATATAAGTGGGCTTTATAATGTTTCTGAAAACTTTTATTTTTGGTTTGAGCTAATGGTGCACAGAGCATAGTTACTATTCTCTTTTAATTGTGAGAGAACTAGATTGTTCCCTGACTATGAATCCAGGATAATTGCTGTCCTGAAGGTTAACTCAGTGATAAAAGAGCAAATCTTTTTTGAATATTACAGTCCTGTATTGAACAATACATAAAAATCTAAATTGGATTTATAAATAAAAACACCACTTTTGTGTTAACATTATCGGTGATAAAATGCATATTTAGCTTAAATATTGCCATTATATTTATTTGACAAATGTTAAGTACTGTCTCTGTTAGGTCTGACTCTAGTATAAAAATAATTAGGATATTTGGAAGCTCTTAGACTCAGAGGGCAGGATGAGTGGGATGACAGATATAAACTACCATCTGCTACCATAGGTGCTCTTATAGACAGTTATACATACAAACCCAGAGTGAAGGCTGTTTAACTGAGCTTTCTCATATTAGCTCACTTCCTATTTTATATTAGAGAGCTAAAGGTAAGAAAGTGCATTTTCCTCAATATCCCTCAGACCCCAAATAGTAATAGGATTTTCAGACATTATAAAACTGCCTTACCAACTTAAAACTTGCCATTAGGAGTCATCATATCCAAAGAGCTTTCTTTTTGGATACCTCACATCAGATTTTTGCTTTTCAGATATTTCAAAAGTTCAAATATGTTTAAAATACTAGCCTTAGAATTTTAACTAAAGTCTAAAGCATTTAGAAAACTGGTTGCCCTGACTTAATTAACATCTTAAATAGTTCTAACTGCAGTTGTGTTAACTCTTTGCTTGTCAGGCCAGGGATTTAGCTCAGTGGTGCTGCCTCTTATCTCACAAGCACAGGCACAAGATCCCAAGTTCTATCCCTGGTACTAAAAAACCAACCAATCAAACAAACAAAAAAACTTTGCATGTTGTAGTTTATTTCTTCTATGGAAGACTGGGCATTTAAACCAATGTCTTTGTGTGTGTGTGTGTGTGTGTGTGTGTGTGTGTGTGTTGTACTGGAGATCGAACTCAGGACCGTGCACTTGCGAAGCAGGTGTCAGAATCACTGAGCTAAATGCCTGACCCACCAATGACTTGTAGTATTTGTGCTGCCGAAGCGAGCACCCACCAATGTCTTTTAGATTATGCATTTCTTTTTGCTCTTTTAAACTTAAAAAATAATTCTATTTTGAGACAATGTCTCACTAAGTTTTCCAGGCTAGGCTTGAATGTGCCTCAGCTGCAACCTCCCAAGTAAATGGGATTATGGGTGTGTGCTGAGCTGAAAACAGAAAATTTTAATGTTACCATTTTAACAACAGTTTTGTGTCAAAAGTCTTAGGCCTGAAATAAGTTTTAGGGTTCTATTTGTTTGTTTTGGGATCTGTTTTTGTTTTGCAAGGCAGTGGATGATGTAGGGTAGGGATGAAGATGGAAGTACTCAGGAGCACTAACAACTGTCTCGTTGTTACTTTAATATGTTGTTAAAAATTTACTATGCCCAGTATAAAAAATGTTTACTTTGACCTCTTATATAGCCTTATCTTATTATTAAAAATTAAAGCCTATTTATAAACAAATGTCAGACAGAACACCTCAGAGAAAGAGAATCCTTGGACTGAGATGGAGAAAATCAGAGTTTGTGTTCGAAAACGACCTTTGGGTATAAGGGAGGTACGCCGTGGAGAAATTAATATTATTACTGTAGAAGACAAAGAAACTCTACTTGTGCATGAGAAAAAAGAATCAGTTGATCTCACACAGTATATAATGCAGGTATGTGTTTGGAATCAATATTATCAAGTATGTTAATTTAATACTTTTTGTTTAAATGGTTCCATGCAGCTTCTAAAATCCAGTTTCTGGTTTAGGTATTGATAGTCATGCCTTACATAACATTGCATTAAATCATTGATAGTTTGGGCCTTCATTTTTTTAACATATGGTCTGGTGGGTTATACAAAAATGTAATTCCTCTATTTTTATTGATGGAACGAAATCATGTATTCACCTAACACATTTTATGTGAATTTATAATAACAAGATGGGGAGAAGAGAATAAAAATACATAATTTTTTGAGACAGGTATCATTATTTAGTTCAGGCTGGCCTTGAACTCACTGTGTAGCTTCAGTTGGCCTTGAACTAGCAACAGCTTTCCTGCCTCAGCCTCGCAAGTGCTAGGATACAGCGTGCACCACCATGCCTAGCACAATGTACTTTAAATAACAGGAAAAGTCATAAACATGTGCCCCAAAGTGTCTGTGAGATGGTCAGTCACATAGTTGGACTCCATTCTTGCCTACATCTCACAATGTGATCTTATTCCTGTGATGAGTGTGAGTCTTGGGTTTAATGATGGACGATATCTTGTTGAGCAACAAGGCTCCAAATAACAGCTTATTTGGATTTTCAGTTGCCTTGGGCTTAGATTTAACTGGTCGAGATGGGGCTCTGATATGGCCAGTTTGTACAGAGTAGACTGCAATGAGTAAATATAATCCAGGCATTTGTTTTCATATCTAATATGTAAGGGCTAAATAAAATGTTAGCTAAGGCATATAAAAATGTTTATTGTCTGCTAAAATATTATGAAAGTTTGTTATTGAACTTAGTCTAACCTAATAGATGCCCTTGCGATAACTCTTCATTGTTATAGGGAAGCAGCAAACTCCACAGGTGGGAGATCATGTTTTTGATACCTGTATATTTGTCTTACTAGGTACTCCTAAAGTTGCAAAACAATTGTAATAATAAAAAATAGAACAGGTTATCTACCAGATGTAAAGATTTTGGAATTCAGTTTATATTGCTCTGCCTCCTTAAACCTTAATATTATGTTTATTATCTTTCTCTTGTTCCCTTGCCTTACCACCCATAAAATGATAGAAAGCAAAAAAATAATGAGTAATCTGGGGTGCTAGCAATTCACCTTAGCTGATATCTTACCCTACAAGAATAAATCCTTTCACGCTGAAGTAAAGTTGTTAAAACATCCCTGTCACACCTGCATTGTTCTTTTCCTTTGATGACCAAAATTGGGTTTTCCCATGACACTCAGAGTAATCCGCCAAGTCTTTCTGTGGGCAGTAAATTACCAGGCCACTGTTTAACCAACCCAATCACTAACAACCTTATTGATTGCTGATCAATGCACAGTCTATTAGGTTTTAGTGGGAGGTATTTATTTTGAAGATGGTCTAAATGACCGATTAGTTGTTATGCTATCTAGTTCCATAGCTAGTTATACCCACAGTAATAGTTCTATCCAATCACTGTCTACCCAAGACTTCCTTAATGATGCTTCAATCACAGTAATTCCCTCAAGGAGGCATCATTGTATCTTTTGTATTTTTCCATTATCCCCAAACATAATAAACTTACTTCTTTGTCATTACCATTGATCAATACTTATTGAATATCCATAGTTTCTGTGACATTTCCTCTGCTGTTTGAACTTTGGACCTTTGCTCTCATAGGTCAAAGTCCTTAACTGTCAATGCTATAACATAGAAATATTGGGAGAACTTTTTCTCTTTTCCTTTCTCAAAGCAAAAGAAGAAAAGAGAGGTTTATAGCAAACTTGGTGCTAAATAAACATTGATTCTCAGTTCTTTGAGTCTGTCTAATTAAATATTCTGTCTTTTCAAATCTTTTTATTTAGTAAATACGATTATATACATGTAGTGTGCATATATATATATATATATATATATATATCCATTAAGTTTTATAAAATCAATGAGTAAAAAAACAAGAAAACCAAATCGTTGTTTATTTTTTTTTGTTTTGAGACAAGGTCTGACTATGTAGTTGAACTCACAGTGATCCTCCTGCCTCAGCCTCCCAAATTCTGGGATTACATATGTGCACCATCACAGCTGACCATCTCTCTTTCTCTCTCTCTTTAGTAGTGAGAATCAAGCAGCCAAGAGCCTCACACATAGTAAGCAATGCTGTCACTAAGCTATATCTGCAGCCCTCCTTTCCAATTTTTTAAAGAAAAGTGTATTCAGCTACAGATTACACTGAAATACACCAAAAAGTTAACATTGTCTGCCTCTGAGTATCAAAACTTACAGTTTTGGCTTTCTTTTCTATAGTTCTCCATATTTTTAATGCTTTCTACAATCATCTGTGTCACTTTTATATTAAAAAGTAAATATTTAAATAGCATAGATTTGCTTATATTAAAATCAAACAGTAAATAGGGAAGGGTGAAGGGGGAGAAGGGAGGGCAGAGGTATGGGGAAAAGACAAGAACCAAAATATATCATGTAAAGGTACAAGATCCCAATGATAAATGTAACTATTATTTGCTTGAAATGTACCAATAAACTTAATGGAAAAGAAATCAAGTGGTACAAAATAGTGTATAGTAAATAGTAACTCATCATTTCACCCTCCATTTCTTCCTTGAAGGCAGTTATTATTACACATTTTAAGTGTGTCTCAGAGGTATCTTATAAATACATGCTACTGTACTTTTATAATCTGAAAAATACTTTATGAATGGTTTATATATTTTATCCAGGCTATCCATGACAGGTAGTAGTGTCACACACTCGAGTTCCAGCCACCTCTGGAAAAGCCCCATCTATGACCACATGAAGCTTTGGGAGGACATCTAGACACAAGCGGTGATTTGGGAAGGCTATATACGATAAGATGCACAAATAGTATTTATGTTTGATGAATTGTATATCCCTATAGAATTGAGTTTGCCCAGACATAGAGGAATCGTTCACTCTTGTGCTCATCAGATTACTTCCCTTCAGAAAGAACAAAAATCATACGCCTTAGTTTCTACATTGTAAGAACATGGCTGTAGAGATCTCAAGTAAAAGTAGGCCCTGTCATTTAACAGTTATTGATTATCTGAGTTTATCATGTCACTTACTATTATTGTAAAATGTATTTAGGCCTTTATCGTATGCTACCTAGAATAGTGGTGAAGAAACTCAGAAAGCAACTCTTTCTATAAAAATTGAATTTATTTTTCAGCATGTTTTTTATTTTGATGAAGTCTTTGGTGAGGCGTGCACCAATCGAGATGTATACACGAAGACTACTCACCCCCTCATTCAACATATTTTTAATGGGTGAGAAAAATTATTTGCTTTTCTTGCTTTTTGTTTTCTAGTTTCCATAAATTATTCCTTTATAAATATCACTTGTCTTTTTTTAGTTCTTTTGAATGAATTTGTATTTTGATTTATTGAATTTAAATTAGACTCTTCTGGAAAAGTATACCTCAATTACAGGATTTGCCAAGCATTCAGAAATTTCAGAAATTGCAAAATTTCCTTTTACACTGATGTTGTTTCTTTGGTTAGTGGAACAGTGTATGCTGTCAACAATTTAATTTTATCCAAGTCTTCAGAAACAAGGTTTAAGTGGTTGATAATAAGATTTACACATTCTGGCTAGAGTTATTATTTTTTTAATTATACAAAATTATGCCGCTGTAGTTAAGGCTTTTAGTTTACATTTGGCTACCTCAAAGTAATTGTAACATTACATTGGTCAGTTTAAATACTGTGGCTCCCTGTTGGGTAGACACACAATCTTTACACCAAACATTAATGCATATAAAGCAACAAGGCATTGTTAAATAAAACAGCCATAGTTACTGCACATTAGGCCTTGTGACCAATTACACATGATTAAAATTACTTCCCACATTCCCATCCACAGTACTCATTCACAATTTAATATTTCCACCAAAATGGTACACATGTAAAACCATCACTAACAGGCAAAAATACTAAACTTGTATATTTGATATTGAAAATACATTTATACATGTGCAAGCAAGGAATTCACAGTGAGAATCTATAGCTGCAAAAGCCAGAAAATTATTTATAAAAATTGTTAAATCATTAAAAATCACACTTCTTGTTGTAGACCCCCACTGTACACACAACTATAAACATTATTCTCTATGTAAACAAGAAAGTAAACATATAATAAGGAAATTTGAAAAGTCTGGACATTTTCTTCCCAACATATCTTAAAGGCAACGTCTTTAAGACATTATACTGAAAGGACTACGGATTTTTTTTGGTGGGGGGTACTGGAGATTGAACTCCAGACCTTGTGCTTGTGAGGTAGGCAGTGGAACCACTGAGCTAAATCCCTGGCCCCAGACCTCCTCTTTTTTAGTACTATCAATTCTAAAGACAAGATCACTGTCTCCACAAGTTTTTTAAAAAATTTTTAAAACTATGTAGCTGTGTTAATCAAAGTGTTTATTTTGTATAATGTAATGATAATGACCATGATTTTTAAAAACTACAATAAGCTACAAGTATCAAAGAAGTGGGGTTATATGGAGTAGTCTACATAGGAGCTCTTTGGACTTTTATTATGCTAACCTTGTGGTGCTTTTAGGATTTACATTATTATTATTTGTATTGGTGCTCTCCAATACAAAGTATAGGATGTGTTAAAGTATACAGTACACCATTTTTCACACATGTACAACATTGGTGGATGAAGAAATGTCTTTTAGCAGTAATACTGGATGCAGCTTCTGGCTTTATCAGCTGCATATTCTAGAACAATTATATAAGTAAAAATCACTCTTGTGATCTGGAAAGTGATTAGAATGTGCAGACTGATAGCGTAGCTTTCATCCGTCTCTTAAAGGGTACCACACCACAGAAAGGTCCATTTAAGATGTTGGTAGGTTGTACAAAGTTGGAATGCCTGCACTGTTGAATTGGGCAACAGTTCTTCATACCTGGCTCAGAGCTGCAATGCGTTTAGTGTACTAAAGCAGCTGACATGATGACTTTTTGTGAGCCTTCCCAAGCACTGGAGTTTTTCTGTTAATTTACCACACTAGGTCAAAAAAAAATCTCATTAATATTTATTTTTGATTTTTCAGAAGATTCTAAGAATGCACAGGTTTTCCACTCTTGCTAGATTTTTTACTTTGTTCCTTTTTTACAACTCTTTCATCTTCCAAGTCATATTTATTACCAGCCAGAATCACTGGGATATCATCAGTGTCTCACTCGAAGAATCTGTTCGCTCAGATCTTATAAATCATTAATGTTAACTGTGCTGTGATGGAATAAACTAAAGCAAAGCCGTGTCCATTTTGTATGTACAAATCTCTCATTGCTGTAAATTGTTCCATTCCTGCAGTATCCAAAATTTCAAGCATCTACGGCTGTGCATCTACTTCAGCTTACTTTCTATAAGAATCTTCTATCGTAGGATCCTATTTTTCAACAAAAATTCCTTTAACAAACTGTACAGTCAGAGCAGACTTTCCATTGTCTCCCAAGCCAAGAACAACTAGCTTATACTCATGCATGATGACAACTTGTCAAACAGAGTACCTCTCGCACTGTCACTGGTCGCTGCAGCAGCCAGGGTCACCCACACTCCCTCCCAGCCACTGTTCCCAGGCCCCTGGCACTCCTGCCTTTGCCGCTGCTGCTGCTGCTCCTTGGGCTGCTGATACATAGCCTGTCTCTGGGCAGCTTTTCCTGGGTATAGTTTAATGTTTTCATTAGACTAGGTAGATAAGTGAACATTACTTATCAACTTTTCATACATGTATTTTTTATTTGAAATTATTACCCACACTTAATAAATATTAAATGGGACAGACAGAAAAGGTAATAGGAGCCTTGTATATTTAAAATGTAGGCATGTACTAGAAGAAAATGCCAAATAACCTGCTAGAATCACAGATTCCAGAGAAGCTTGACTTTTTATTTATTTATTTTTGTGGTGCTACAGATCAAATCTAAGTCCTCACCCATGCTAAGGGAAGCAGTCTACCACTGACCTGCATCCCCAACCTTGACTTTTTAAAAAATAACTATTTTTTTAAAATAGAGGTGCAATCTGTATACAATAAGATGCACATATAATATTTAGGTTTGGTAATATATACAAGTAACTAATACCTGAGCAAGACATAGAACATTTTTATCACCCTATAAAGTTTTCTTCTGTTCTTTTTAGTGAATGTCGTACCTCCATCTCTAGGTCTTGTGTAGCCACTGAATTGTTTTCTGTGACTGTCATTACTTATACTTGTTCTAGAGTGTTACAGGAATAGAATAATTACATTACATATTCTCTTATGCCTCATTTCTGTTGGCTTAGCATATATTTGTATATTAGTATACATTGTTGCATGTGTCTCTAGGGTACTTTTTGCTCAATATTCTCTTCCATGATTATATATCACAATGTGCATATCAGTAGTCTTATTGCCAGATATTTAGATTATTTCTAGTTTGAGATTATTATGTCTAAAGCTATATGAATATTCATATGCTAGTCTTTTTTATGGGCATGTTTTCATTTATCTCAGATTAAAAACCTAGACCAGCAAATGCTGTGCCATAGGACAAGTGTATGTTTATAAGAAAATGTCTATGAGCCAGGGATTAGGCTCAGTGGTTCCACCGCCTGCCTTGCAAACACAAGGACCTGAGTTCAATTCTCAGTACCAAAAAAAAAAGAAAATGTCCAGTGATTTTTCCAGAGCATGGGACTGCTTTATATTTCCAACACAGGTTATGAGATGTATAGTTTCACAGCCATATCAGCAGTCTTTATTTTATCCCAGGAGATCATATCATATTAAAATTTTAATCTGAATTTCCTTAATGATACTGAGGGCCTTTTGCCATTTGAGTATCTTCAGTTGCTGATTGTTTGTTTGTTTGTTTGTGAGGCAGAGTCTTGCTATTTAGCCAAGACTGACCACAAACTCACAATTCTCCTGCCTCAGCCCCCCAAGTGCTGGGATTTCAGTCATGTGCCATTATGCCCTGGCCTCAATTTTCCTTTTTATTCTAATTTAAAAATTTTTTTTCTTTTTCTGAGACAGGGTCTCACTATGCAGGCTAGCTTTGAACTCACTGTGTAGCCCAGGCTGGCCTTCAAATCACAGCCCTCCTACATTAGCCTCCCAAGTGCTAGGATTATAGTGTGCACCACCATACCTAGCTTGTGTTTTCTTTTTATTGTTGTTTTGTGGAAATTATTTCTTTTTAAAAATTTTATGAGCTGTCTAATAAAGAAAAAAATACATGTATATGTCAACACATCAACAGTGGTTATTACCATTTTTGGAACACCTGTTTTGTCCGTTCTGTGGGATATTTTTTCTTTTTGTGGAACTGAGGATCGATCCCAGGACCTTTGCACTGATCTACATCCCCAGCCATTCATCCATCAAAAAAAGAAAAAAAGAAAATTATTTTTCAGGTACAGTTTTTTTTTCTTTTTTTTAAAACTGTAGTAAAGTTTTGTTAAAGGTAGGAAAAGAAAAAGGCTCTGCACACTGAGTCTGGACCAAGTAAAAGTAGGAAAAGAAGTACACCCTATCATGTGAGGGCGGAGCACCATGCAAGAGTGACCACAATAGCTATCAGGTGCAATTTCTTATGCATAAAAGCTGGGAAATGTTATTTGAGAGAGCAAGTTTCTAAAGTAAGTTAAAATCTCAGTGTTAAGACTTTAGTAATAAAAGAGTTGCAAGTTTCATTCTATAAAGTGTAGTAAGATTTTTATGTCCATATTTGTTGCTTTAAAAAAAAATCTTCATCATTAAAATGTCATATGGCTTTCAGTCCCTTTCTGTGTACTTATCTCTCCGTCCATCTCTAGCCTCCCCCTACCCTATACACACATTGGTTTGGTTTTTTCTTTTTTTGGAGAAGGGGTCTCACCATGTAGTTGAGACTGACCTGGAACTCATTATGTAGCCCAGGCTGGTCTCGAACTCATCCTCCTGCCTCAGCCTCCCAAGTGCTGGGATTACAGGTGTGCGCCACCATGCCTGGCCTTTTTTTTTTTTTTT